ATGGTGGCGCTCGTGAACTTGGCGATGATGGAGGAGGCGAACCACCGATTATGATCGGAGAGGTCACCCTCGGCGAAGGATTTGGCCGAGGAGGCGTCGGAGGCCGAGCAGGGCCAAGACCGCCCCAGTTGCCGTCGGAATCTTCAACATTGTCGTCGTCAGCTGTACTTGAATGTTCGGTAGGTGGCGGAACATCACTGCCACCACTTGTATCACCAGGAGAATCATCCACCGAAAGTTCGTCATCATCCAAGTCATCTCCACGATCATCACCACCATTGCCATCGTCATCGATCTCCATCGGAAAATCAATTGAAGAAACACTTGGTGCGGCAGCCGTTGGAATAGTCGGAGCCGGCTTTGAAGACTCGGAGGCTTGTGGAACAGCCTCAACAGGGGCAAGCCCTGCCGTAGAAACCGCTCCCGAGACTTCAACCGTCTTAGAAGTCGCAACAGACGACGAAAGCAACATTGCCTGATGGGACGGTGCTATCCGACTCGTCATCTTCGTCATCCGAGCCGAACATGAGTCGAAAATCCTCGGCCTTACGCAAGCCCTCTTCGGCAGCGCGTATGTCCGCTGGGGAAGGAGATATCGTCGACGCTGATGGCTTGACCACGTCGGGAGGACCTTGAGGCGAAGGCGCGTCAGAAAGTTCGGAGACGTCGTCGTGAGCCCCGGAGCCCATATCTTTACCCGAAGACTCGGTGATAGTATCCTGAGCCGAGGGAACCCCACTTGAACCAACGTCAACCAGTTCCACGTCACCCTGGTCACCGCTGAGGTCTACAACGGCGGGGTCGAGGATGACGCTGGTTTGCGAGGTGGCGACCATGAACGAGGAGATGACGGTACAGACTGGGACCGAGTCTTCGAATGATGCCGAGGCGACTTGCCCGGAGAACGAAGGCGAGTCTTTTGGCGTTTCTTCTGGCCGCTTGCTTCCAAGCCTTCGGAATAAACAGCGAACGACGTGTAGACTTGGGAGTTGAAGGGGCGGCAGGTGGCGCATCACCGAGACCAGCAGCTACTGGCCTTACCGTCGGGATGGGAGCCTTGTCTTCGTCGGAATCGTCCGACTCCTTGCCACCTGGTCGAAGACGCTTGTGGAGTTTTCCATGAGCCACTTGATGAGCAGCCTGCACTAGGGCTGCAGGAAGAGCTTGGGGATCATGCGAAGACGCGGCCGCAGACTTTATATGTGGAAAGACCACCACCATCTCCTGGTCCAAGTCCAGAGCTTCCAGATCCAGTTCACCCGCAGTGAGACCTGCCACAAAGGATTGTGAATGAACGTTACCTGCTGAACTCACGGTGGAAATAACAACATGAGGAACGTACCATCAACAGCCAGACGCAGGACCTCTGGATCCATCCCGGCTAGACTCACGTGTGTACGGAGAGTACGGCTTACTTGGAGGAGGTGGGTGTTGCGAGCTTGCTGATTCTCGAGGACCTTGAGCGTGTCGTTGTCGATGTGTTTGCCCTTGGAAAGCTAGACCAAGAGGATATGAAGTTGGCGAGTCTGCTCGGTGTTCGCGTCAATCGAAGACTTGTACACTTCGCGTTCGCGAGCCAGCTTCTTGTTCAAGGTGGCGATAAACGCGTCCCGCGCCTGGACCTGGCAGTGCAGACGCTTCAGGTCCTCTGAATGTTGCTCCATGGAAGACTGAACACTCGCGAGCATGGCATCATTCTTGGCGTTGGACTCGCGGAGAATCTTGACGTCCTTGCGAAGAGCTTCGACTTCGGCGGTTGCAGCCTTCAGGTACGCCTCCGCGTTCTCCCAAGCCATGATTTCGGGTGCCACCGAGCGTACGGCGGCAGCAGCCTCGGTATGGGCAGCACGCAACTGACGCTCCAGGCTAACAACTCGGTCGGGCAAGGCCGACAGCGCATCGGGAAGAGGCTGTACGGCGGCGAGGACCTCGTCAAAGCCCATTGCAGTCTCGAGGCGACGTTGAGTACGGACATCGCCGTGAAGAGGAGGCGCAACGTTGAGTTGCACTTGATGATGAGCCATCGTAGTCAAGTACGGAATAATCGATGTCATCATGTGATCAACCGACGCTTCCGTACTCTCAGCCAGCATGGCGCGCAACGAATCCTCGGTGAGTGGTGGAGGACCACCTGCAGGCGCAGGCGGATCAGCAGAAGCCATCCCCGTGGATACAGCGACGACAGGAAGTGCCGCAGGAGCTGCAGCAAGAAGTGAAGAGTTCGGGACAGGAAGCACCGGAGGTCCAGCCGACGACGTTGCTGTCGAAGGAAGTGAAGCAGGCTGAGGGTTGTTCGAAACCTCGGTGTCGCCCTCCTGAGAAACGAGACGAGTAATGCATGGTGATGAGCAAGGTACCGATGATTCAAGAAGAAGATGAGCTGACTTATCTCCAGCTGTTCACGTTCACGTCGTCGGCGAGGATTAAGAAGTTGGAACGCGTCATTCACGGCTCGATTCAGACTCTTGGACATCCTGTGACTAGATGGTGAATTGGAGAATGAAGAAATGTCACAACGGGCACCAGTACCGTGGCTTCCATTGCGACAGGGGCAGTTGTGGTGTAGTGATTTCTCCAGAGTTGCGGATAATCGCCCGTCGACAAAGTTGCGGCACCACCCAAGATGTTCCAGCGACGAGCCCTCGGTCACGTGATGTACGGTGACTCCAAGGTGCAAGCGACTCGACGGCGTCACTACCGAACTCTCAACGGATATTGGATACGGTCCAGATGTCACTCAATCCAGGCTGTCCTTATTATTAATAATGGACTGGCCGGATTCGCATTCAGCGGCCAAGAACTGACTATCTACTGTACGAACCCTCGGTGGCGGTTGGGATGAGTTCGCGGAAGACTCAGCGACCATTTGAAGGAACGTCCACTGTCTGGGACAGGGCGCGAGCCGTTAAAGATGCTCATGCGACGGTGCAGACGACGCTTGACGTGCAAGAAGATCCATAACGGATCATTGTTCACTTGATATTTGTATACGTGATTAGGACCTCTTATTAGGAATAAACACGAAAGTACAAACATAAATACAGAACAGAATTTCCACTCAAGCACACAGAGCAACGTCCGGCTTCAAGGTAAGCGTCTGGTCAAGCTTGTTTGAGTGTGTTATGCCTGTCGGTGATCTCGAAGCCCTGTAGCCATGGTTCATCCGGCAAGACCAAGAGACTGTGTGTTTTGGCCGATTACTATCGGGAAGGTTTTACGTGACGGCTTTTTGTTGCCTATTTGCTCGACTGGGAGTGCTTGTTTTGCATCCCTTTTATTCTTCCAACCGAGTGTTGAACACTCGGTGCCCTCGTAAAAGGCTTACCCGTGCCTGGTACCCCTCCGCTGTTGGGACCACGAGGATTCAAAACACCTGCTAGCTTTGCTCGTGCTAGAAGCGTGTTCTTATTTTACTGGTTGGCCTATATAAGTAGCTTACAAGGTCCAGTCTGTCCCGGTGCAAGGGCAGAACTGGGGTCTTCAGGTCCGCCGGAACGATTATTTACTATCCTAGTAGACGTATTGTTATGGGAACGTCCTAACTACATTTGTAGCTAGAGCTCACGTGGGAATTCCAACACCACACCGAGCACAACTTCAGGTCGGCTCGACCTGGTTGGAGCGCTGGTAGCTTCTAGGCTTGTCAAAATCACTTTGCTCAAGAAAATGTCCAAGTAGGCTGGTAAAAGGGTTATTTACATGTACTGCAGCGGGGCTGCCGTAGCTTTAGCGTCAGAGGAAGACGTTCGACATAAAGAGTCACTAATATTAAGTTCCTTATCCAAAGGAACTTACAGCCCACGACCAGGGCTCAAAGTTAATACCTTAACTTTTATGCTTCGAAACCAGTACTGTTTTCTTTACTACATGTATTATTGCGGCCCAGCCGCCTAGTGGTAATTGTATTTGTTTAACTATCAAGCACAGTTAAACCTAATTAAACGCATAACGTGTGGCTTTTAGCCAACGTACTGAGAGACCTTGTTAGCTCTACAACTTATGTACTGAACATTTGGTAACTCTCCGGGTACTTCGTACCCCTGTGTTCCACTCCAGGAAACCCCGTTACCGTATTCCTTATGTGATTGGCGACGCTCGGTCATTAGCGACAAATCCAGCAGCCAATCAAATTGATTTAAATTTCGTGTCGTCGCGCTGTATGTGCTTGGCGACCAATATAATTTTGAACATGTAAAATATTTTTTCTATGCAGGTATCTTTAACGCTGGCAGAAACTGGACCACCTCAAGAATTTGACTGCCGCCAATCACATAAGGAATACAGTCGTGCACCTCCAATTCGGCAGGGCGGACCATATCAACAGTGCCAGGGCAAAAGTGCACAACGTAAAGCAAAAAACAAACGCAAATCCAGTGCACGGATATTTGTTTTGTTAATTCAGTACAAAATTTACTTCTATCTTCTGTATAATCTTGGCGTCAGACGCGCGAATCGCGGGCGCGCAACAGCGCTTCCGGTCCGGTCGCGATAGGCATCCGGCAAGGCGGCAACGTCCGCCGACCGCTTAAGAATACTCTGGACGGTAGTGCGCTTTACTGCTTGGGGGGTCTTAAGGCGCTCCGTTGCCCAGCGAGCAAGTTCGGAGTGAGAGCATGCAGGATCTGACTTGTGCTTCGCACAAAGACTGCTTTTGTGCTAGAGTTGGGGACATGTAGGAGGAAGGGCGATGTCCCATTGTCTTTGGCGGTAAAAATCAAAGTGTGTGTTTGTATGAAGACGTCGGATCCAAAATTTAAAATCAGATCGATGCGGCGTGTCATTCCTCCGCGAGGAGGGAAACCCTGAGGTTAATTGCTAGGTGGTGATGGGCAAAGGTAATTGCGCATCCGATTCGCGTAAACATAAAATCTGGCAGGGTATCGACTGATACCGGTGCCGAATTGGAGGTGCACGACTGTACGGTACTTGTTCATTAGAAAACCCTCAAATAACGTTAGAAACTGCTCTCGTAACTTGCACAAAGAGCCTATTATAGTCATGGTGGCCACATTTCGTCGCTCGTGAATCGGCAGATGAAGGACGAGCCTCCGACTCCGAGACACAGCGTGCCCCGCCGGTTGTCTCGTCCGCGACGAGCTAGCGTGGACGATGAAATAATCGCGACGCCGACTGCAGTGCGTGCTGCTGCCCGAGCAGCTCTGAAAGAAGAGGAAGTCCGGCCAGCGGCGATAGAAACACCCCGCCAACCTGCCAAGCTTATTCCGAGGCCTCCACCCGTGCTGATGTCGCGAGACTCGAGCGCATCAGTAGCCAAGACATTCCTTACTGCTATAGTGCCGGGGAGGCGACGCTCACGACGACAAAAGGAAGTGCTGCGACCCCCGTCGCCACTAGACTCAGTGCAGCCGCCCAGCGACTATGTCGATACTGGTAGCATGTCCGAGCTACCAGCACCAGCCAACTACATGGGGATGCAGGCTATGCAGCAGTTTTGGGATATTTTCCACCGCCAAGAAACAGTCCACAACAACAAGGCTGTGCCTCCCACGGTGCCTTCTGTTGTACCACGTCCCAAGTCTGCGCGCACCAATTACCTCGCTGCCGTGCGTAACCTTCGATTGTGTCCGGAACCTCTGGGTATTGTACGGCGTCGAGTTGTGGACAAAACGGCCTCCTATGCAAATGGCAGTACAGTACAAGAAGTGAACCTCAGCAGCTATCGGATGGGAAATGCTTACGCAGAAGCGTTTGGAGAAGGTTTTTCGCTGCTGCCAGGTGTTGAATCGCTCAATCTTACGCATAACCGAATCGGAGACTTAGTCGCTTCCAGGCTAATCACAGCGGCCGCCGCAGCCGCAGGTGCCCAGGGCACGGCAGGGTTGCAACAACTCAACTTGTCGCACAATGCGTTGGCGACGGCTTCTTCGCGAGCGCTCTCTGAGTTAATGCGCCGTTCGCGTGCACTTACGTCGCTAAATCTATCGCATACAGGACTGCGTGACCGTCAAGTGCAGCAGCTTTGTGAGTCGCTCACTATGAACCAGACCGTCGTGCGCTTACACCTTTCCGAAAATCGCTTCGGGGCACCAGGGATGCTGGCCGTGGCGCGGTTTCTCGAGGAAAATTCACGCATTGAGGAGCTGTATCTGGCCTGGAATCAACTACGTGGGGTTGGTGCCCTGAGAATTGTAGAGGCACTCAAGTTCCATGCGTCTCTGCGTGTGTGTGACCTGTCGTGGAATGCTCTCAGCTCGTCAGGCCCCAACTTGGCTTCTGGAACTGGGAATTCGGCTATCCATAGCTCAGGTGGAGTGCTGCTACCACGAGCGGTGGTGGCAGCTCTCGCTGACTCGCTTGCGAACAACAAGGTGCTGGCACATCTGGATCTGTCCAGCAATCGATTCGATCTCGAGGACTGCAACCTACTGGCCAAGCAACTGGAGAAGAACCAGACACTCATCGGGTTGCACATGAGCGGCAACTGCGCGGTCATGGACTCGCGTGGATTTCTCATTCCAAAGACTCAAGCCGACGATGAAGAAGGTGGCGGATTAAGGAGACTTCGGGATCAACACAAACTCTACTCGGTGGCAGTCTTTGAAGAAGTGCATAGTGACGCTGGGCCGGGTGTGTTTCCAGCTCATCTGATGTCCATTGTCGATGCGTCGTGTTGGTATTGTGGACTGTGGGCTGAGCATCGCTTTACGTGGACTCCTACTGCTGGCCAAGGCCCATTTGCTGGGACTATCGATCGATTTGAGATAACTCCGTCCATGGAGGTTCGTTTACACTTATCCGTTGACGACTGGAGAGGTGTCGCCATGGAGCGACGAGAGAATGATGGAGATGAAGTGGCCTTTAGTGCGCTGCGTGTCATTCCTCCTGGTGCTACCTGTTATTTCTTCACAGCTGTCGACACAGCTGCTGGTCCGAACAGTAGTAACAATGTGAGCTTTCATTACGTCACCTCGCGTCCTAATCGGCCTGTTCAGCGTCAACACCGCTTGCCACCTGGCAAGTCTGGTACATGTAGCTTGGGTGCGAGTGAAGCAGGCGAGGCCACAGGAGCAACGCAAGGAGGCGTGTTTGGTACTTTGGAGCGTTTGAACGTCATTCGTCTCAGCGAACGAGGAGGGCGAGATCCCTGCAACACTCTTGTTCCGCGCAGCTCAGGAAAGAACAACGGAAGACGAGGGAAATGGGACATCAACAAGAGTGTGTTTGCACGGCGTAAGCGCGAGTCTGAATGTCGGAGTTTCGTGGATACTGACGTATTTATCGCGAAAGCCTGTGCTGCAGACTGGAAACAGTGCAAAATTGATCGATTCGTGAAGGATTCTTCACGGAGACGCGAAGTGGAAGTTAGCGTTACCCGTTGGTATCGCACAGTTTGCAACGCCTACCGACGTTACTGTGGTCACAACGTGTTGATGAACTTGGCGCCTTTGGGATCGCTAACGTCAGCAGCAGCCATTCAACTGCAGAATGATATAACCTGTATACCTTGGTCAGGCTACACCGAGTTTCTTTCGGAAGCTAAAATACTGGATGAAACATCAGAGTACTGCTCGTTACCCGACCTGGAGAATGTGTTTGTGGCTGCAAACCTCGAGCTCACCCAGGAAGCCAAGGAAAAAGACAACCCGGACCGCAGTCTTACGAGGTTTGAGTTCTTGGAATGTATTATCCGAATCGCCACGAACAAATACTTTAGAAGTGCGTACCCCCTCCAACCTGTTGTTGTTGCGGTGACTCGAATACAGTACTTACTCGGATGCTGTTCTTGTGGCAGCCAATGTGTGTGATACGCCCGCCAAAGCCGTAGACAAGCTGGTGCAGGAAAATATACAGCCCGTGACCCCAGATGACGCAAACGAATTTCGTTCTCGCTTCCTCTACACAGAAGAGGTTAGCGATGCGTTTACGGAGCACATTACTCTGGTATGTCACTATACGGCTCTCGTCGGCCCCGCACACGGAATTTGACGTTGTTTATGTGCCGTAGCTACAAGAGTTATACGATGCTAACATGGGCAAATACTGCAAGCCAGGTGAAAAGAAAGGAATGCATCTGGTCGAATTCCTCCTTCTCTTGTAAGCTATGAGTTCATGAGCCTTTTTTTTCACGAGCATTATCGACAACTTTTTGTCTCTTGTTCTGTCCTTCGTTTTTGCAGAGAGAAGTACCAGGTTTTCTCCGACTCGTTCCGTGTGCGTGATATAAAGGATCCGTTCTTGGCGTGCAAATTGATGGTGCTGGATGAAATGACCACTGTAGGCCACAAGAAGCTTTTCCTCACCGACTTCATGGAGATCATCTTACGCGTCAGTGTCGTACGCTACCCACCTCGGACTCTTACGGTGGATGAAGTTGTACGCAGCTTACACAAGCTGCTGGTCAACCACTTTTACAAACACGACGCTCTGGTGGGCCAATTCTGTGAAGCGATCGACCAGGCTCTCGTCGAAGATCGTCTTGAGGCCTTTGCAAATGCTATCAACTCGCAGCGAAATCATTTACAAGCTCCTGCGTCATCAAACACTCGGAATCGCGGGGCGGGGCGCTCAGCAGGACCCGTGCAGAGGGCAATTATCGCCGAGGAGAGTGCGTCAGATACGGATGAGGACAGCGAATCAGAAGGCACATCGGGTGTGATAATCATTTGAAATCACAAAGCTCAACCGAGCAAACGATGCCACTGTCGGACACGAAGAGCTTTTATCAATAGAGCAGCACTTAGGTGGAGACTATTTCTTAAAGTTTTGAGGTCTTTTGTGCTACCAGTGCCTGTAAAACAGCACCTATGTCGTATACCCCCCTTTTTTTCAGAATCGGGTACTCTCGGGCTGTTTAGTGAGTAGACCTTGACTCGGGTGACAGGCAGACCGTTTGGGCTAAAAAGGAGGTGCTCTTAACCCAATTAACGCGGGATTCTGTATTCGACAGATTAAGTGATATTGCAGGTGTAAATATTCCGAGAGCTTATACGCGGGGAGGATGACGTAAATTCCCCGCATATACAGTTTTGTATGGCTTTGAGTGGGGGCTTTATCACTGAGGATCAGCGCTGGTGAGATAGACGGGCATCCATAGAAAATACAGTATAAGCGGTGAAGAGGTATGAAAATTCAGTTCCCAACCATTTATCCCCCCACCTAACTGCCACGAAAGCGATGGACGTGTGGATACGAAGAAGTTCAAGAATCTGTGGAGTCAGCTCGCAAAGGACGGCTGGAAGGCAAGGCCGCCGACGGGGCTGAACGTCGGGCACACGTACGTAAAGCCTGGTGTAAAGGGCAAGCTTCGCAAGGATCGCGTCAATGCGGACTATTTTTGTGGTACGATGATCGGTATATTCTATTGGTAAATTGTGTACTAAATGTGCATGATTTCTAGGGACGAAAAGCCTATGGTAGTACGCATGTCGTTTCGGTTTAGTAGAACCAGCCGTCAACGAGTTTCCAGTACCCGTTGGACGGCCGCCAATAGAGAAACAAGCGGCGTACACAGCAGCGCAGCGGCAAATACCGACGGCAGCACCAGAACGCGACGAACATTCAGATCTAGGTGGTCAATCTGGCGGTGTTACTCCTGCGGCTGCAGCGCAAGGGTCTGACGGTGTCACTCCTGTGGCTACAGAGCAAGGTGGTGAGCATGGCGGTATTTCTCCTGTGGCTACAGAACAATGTCATCGGTCTGGTCGCAGTTCTCCGTCTGGTACAGAACAAGCGAGACGAGCAGATCACAGTAACAGCTCTCGTACGGAAGCGATCGCTTCGGATGATGATTCCATAATCGATGTCAGCGAGGAGGCCAAGACGGACGATGGGCCAGACGATCTGACAGCCTTTGATCGTGATAACTTCATGGATGCTATGCGTGCAGAGAATCTATTCCCCCCTCCTGCCCTGGACGATATCAACGTTGGGAGCGAAGCCTTCTCAGTTAGTGATGATTCCGACGATCAAGATTCTGCTTTCTGCGACTTTGATCCTGATCTGGAGGAATTCATGGACGAAATCGAATCTGATTCCGACTTTGAAGACGAAGGTGAAGCTTTTCAGCAAGACGACGACGAAATGAAAGGGATCGAGTGGGAAGTCTTCAATCAAGATCATTGCGGTACGTCTGTCGTCTACAGAATACGAGTTTCCAAAAAGTAACTTATTCTGTATGGATATGGCAATAGCTGATTTGAAGTTGAACGAGGCGACTTTATACAGTGGAAGGTGGGGCACCAAATCTGCCGCAGCATTTGCAGAATCACCGATTGGATCGTTTTTCTACTTCTTACCCAAGAAGTTGTGGACAAGCATTGCCGCAGAGAGTGAGGCCTACCGCCAACGGTCCATTCCAGCCATTGCCCAGAAAATAAGATAACTGCAGCTCACCGCACAGGCAAACGACCCCAACAAGCGTGTCGAAGACCTGAGGGACATTGTCGACAGACTCAAGAGGCAGAAGCCCATCAGAGAGTACGAAATTGTACACGTCATCGGTCTGCTAGTGGCTCGGACAGTTTGTGGTCACACATATGGCCTCGAAAAGCATTGAACGGTTGGGGAAGATGGAGCTGTCCCACGGGGGACCTTTGGGAAGTACATGACACGACACCGATTCAGGATGATAACAAGATTTCTCCACTTTACTAGCGACCAGGGCCAGACGGCTGACAAGGCATTCAAAGTTCGCCCTATCTTGCAAGTGATAGAGAAGACTTTTCGTCGGGGTTATCGTCTTGGCCCCGTGGTCAGCTTTGATGAAGACACAATCCCGAATCAAAGTCAGTACAACCCGATCCGTGTGTATAACAAGGATAAACCCCATAAGTATGGGACCAAGTGCTACATGACGTGCTGCGCCGAGACGGGTTACTGCGCAAGGTGATCTAATATTTCTGCATACGACAGAATAACGAATGCTGTAGGCAATCTAGTTCTGTATAGCTGCAGCATCAAGCAACGAACTACAACCGTAATGGTATTCTGTATGATGCAGAGTTGAAGTTTATCTAGGAGCTAAACCAGACAAGAAGAAGAAGCAAGGCTAGTCACAGAGAGCCGTCATCAGCAATATCACAAAAACGTTTGACGGACAGGCGAGGCAGAGATTGATTGTAGCGGATAAATTCTACAGCTCGCCTGCGTTGGCACTCGCGCTGCTGACTTTGCGGTTCAACTACGTCGGTACTCAGCGTTCGGACAGACTTGGGTGGCCGTCAGATCTCATGTTCCCACAGAAGAAAAGGTCGCAGTACATGTCGAGGTAGACGTACAGGATAGCGCAATGCAGACAGTACCCAGCACTTGTTGCCACGGCCTGGATGGAAGCCAGACCTGTGCATCTGATCGCCACGGGGTGCTCCACCACGCAGACCCACGTGACGAGGAAGGACAAGAAGACAGGAGCTCTCACACAGGTTCCGTGCCCGCAACTTATCGCAGACTACCATTCTGGAATGGGTGGCGTGAACACTCACGACCAGATCCACCTTCAACGGTATTCGATACAGCGTTGCGTGGCATTCAAGAACTACTACCGCCAACGATTTCTCGCCTTCATAGATATGGCACTCGTCAATGGCTTCATTCTTCACAAGATGGTAATGAAGCGGAAAGGTAAGCGTGCGCCCACGTATGCGGAGTACATGCGGCAGCTTCACGTGGAGTTACTTGCAGTTACGGCTATAAGCTTCCGTACCAACCAACACGCAGAAGATCTGGCGAGTGTGCCGAACGGAAATCTTGACCACGTGCTGCGCGCACTGATGAACTATACAAGGCTAAATTCGGCAAGAGCAAAGGGAAGAGCAAAAATCGACAGCATCTCTGCAAAGTATGCTCGGCGCAGAGCCCACCCAAGGTGAAAAGGTTCGAGAGCAGGTTGTACTGTCGTGAATGCTCGGAGGCTCTTGAAGAATATATTCTTTTGTGTAACACGATTCGGCGCTCGGAAACGGGGAATGCATTGACGTGCAGCCAAATATGGCACTGATCGTGGGGTAGTGGGGCTGCTACTCCGGCACATATGCGGGGGCGAATTCGCCTACGGTAGCGAAAGCTGGAGGAACTTAATGAGGAAGACAGCGATAACGAGTAGCATCTGCACTAATAGCAAACCTGGTGTGGTGTTGGAAGAATGAGGTCTGACACACGCCAACTTCTTCCTCTCTTCTTGCGCTCACTAAATTTCGACCCGGTTCCCTCCTACTACTTCCTGCTAAGTCTAGAACTGGTCGAAAATTTGAGCGCGCTCCATCACCTCGTGCTCACCACCACTAAAGCCACGGCGACGCCGTGACGCATTTGGAGAACTCTGATCACTTTGAGCAGGAGATCAACACAGAGATGGTTGCGCATCGCGCCATATGCAAACTTGCCCAATTGCGAGCGTAAGATTTTCCACGTTGTGGATACATTGTAGATACTTTGTTCACATGCGTAGCATTTTTGCGTCTGCTCGCAGCGTCTATCACGTCAAGGGATAAATTGTTGCGATCTTCCAACCATAGTTTAACCAAGTAATTCCCTTGTTCTGTCTAATACAAATTATTTCCCCGCGTTAATTGAGTTATGTAAATGTAAAGTTTGTTTGTTTCTGTTGTTTTCTCTTCTTTGCTGAACGGAGAAAATGTACGACTGACTGGCGAAAGTGTTCGTCGGAACACCTTCATATATTAATAGATGACACGACGCCGCTGCAGCTATGTAACGGGGTACGTATTTCCAAGTGTACCCCTAGCTACATGAAGTATGACACGTCACACTTCGGGATGTCTGGTACATGGTACCAGGGTCGTCCGAGGTCAACCATTGGCTAATTACATTGCTTACATGGTACCAGGGTCGTCCGAGGTCAACCATTGGCTAATTACATTGCTTTTCTATAGGTGAGTTTTAGTTTGTTTATTTAACTCAAGCTTAGCCTACCTATAAATATATTCAGCTTACAACTTACCTTAAATTGGTCACTTCGCTCCCTTAGGCAAAAGGGACATGTGAACTGCCGTTCACTGATGGTTTGTATACTCTCGGAAGCCAACTTCCTCTGGCGCAAGGTGCTGTGTGACCCGTCACACTTGGTAGCACTTGTAGTCAATCCACGCCAACGCGGGTAGACTACCTGAACCTCCCTGAAGTTCTTCGCCATGGATAGGAACGACTTCTCCCATCTGAACGACTCACAGTTCGAGTCGGTTCGGAAGATGGCTGGCATCTTCGGGATGTAAGCCCTGCAGAGCCTGGTGGTGTCAATGCCGGCCGAGCAGCTCGAGCGTGTCAATGCGTTTGGCGCTTCCGAGCAGGGGCTCATCGCACATGTGCGGGAGAGTGCCCCGGGTTACATAAAGAGTGACCCGTCACTCTTGTGGACACCTGGTACACGGTACCAGGTGCTCTCGGAGCCAGTCAGAGCATGACTACATAGCTCCACTATAGGTAACCTCTAGTTCGTATGAAACCCAAGATAACCTTACTTATAAATACATCAGTCTTAAATCTACTCTTCTAAGTAGCAAACCGTTCCCTTTGAGGCCGGGAACACGTGGACTAACGTTCACTCGGGTAGTTAATACCCTTAAGCACTTCCTCTGTGCAAGGTGCTGTGTGACCCCATCACACTTGG